GGAGAAATTTAAATAGATTCACAGATTTTTCTTAAGGCCTTAAGGTTATAGTTATTCAAACTAGAATTTGATTAGGATTCTGGGTTTAACTCTTATTTTATTTTCAGATGTAGCTATTTTACAACTGTTTTTATACCGTTAGAATGCAGGCTGGAAATGGTATTGGTTAGTTTTGCTTGAATTGTTTTTTCTGTTTGTACAGTATGTATTTCTGTTTATATTATGTAGTAGAGCTTACATCGCTAATTAGTAATGGATGTATTAAATACATATCATCCAAATAAACTATCTTAAAAGAATGTAAAAATTGTGAAGTCAAGCTCTCAAAAAGTTAGGAAATGTCAGAATCAATGTTGTGTGTACAACCTTAATTTGCCCCCCTGTGTATATGCATATGTAATTAAAAACTGAATCATAATGCACAAGCATAAGGGAGATGAGTTAGGGTTGCATGGGCATTATTAATTCTAGCATTTCCTAACTTCTGAGAGCTTGATTTTGCAATCTCATTCTTTCAGTGTATTTTTTTAGAACTACTTTACTACATAAAAAAATGACTCGCAGCAGGGTCATCAGCAGGGCTGGGATCTTTGGACAGTTTTATACTGCTTGAGCTGAGTAATTCAAAGCAGTAGACTCCTGTTGTCTTCTATAGGCATGTCTACACTTTTGGAGGCATGTAGAGAACAGACACCACACATAAAGCTAGCCTGGGTATAAGTAGTTTTGTAGACGGTGAGGCACCACTTGGGCAAGTAAAGTACAAACATGCCAGAATCTTGTAGTACAGGGTACACGGTTCTCTACATGCCCAAGCAGCGCCTCCCACATCTACACTGTTATTTTAGCAAGATAGTGTCCCACTGCCTCCTTGCTGCTGGAGACTTTTCCTACCACAGTGAAAGGTTCTGGTGGGGGCAGGAGGCGAAAGGGGAAGAAGCTCTGGCAGCTTCTGGATGCTTTCCCCGCTACAGGGAAAGGCTCTGGCAAGAGGGAAAGACCCCAGCAGCTCCCTGCTGCTGGAGCCTTTCCCCACTGCCTCTCCCTTGCCAGAGCCTTTCCTTGCCTCAGTGAAAGGCTCTGGCAGCTGCGAACTGCTGAAGCCTTTCCCTGCTATTTCCCCCACCAGCTGCACATAGCTATACACTGTTGTGGACGCACTGTGGACGTAACCTACATGCCACCACCAGGGTAGAAAAGGCCTATGTGGACCAGCCACTAGATGAGGATGCAGACACACTTTGGTGGTGGGTTTCATAGATTTTGTTAGACAGCAAAGGAATGTTGAGAGTCAGAAATAATGGGTTCAATTCCAGGTTCTGTAGGGGGGTGTATCCTTGTGGTTACAGAGCCTTATCCTCCTGTCCTTTCAGCCTCTTCTTTCACCCCTTCTGCTCTTTTCCCACCGCCTCCATTTCCTGTCCATCTTCTCCCCCCTGAGTCCTGTGCCTTGCCAGCCCTTCTGTACTCCCTCCCCCTCAGCTCCTGCTCCTGTTCCAAGCTTCTGCCCCTGTGTCCCTCCCTTCCAGCTCAGGAAACTTCCCCCCTTGTGCCTTATATTTCTGCCTTTTGAGGGAGAGCATTGAGAGTCGAGGAGAGACAGTCTCTCAGTTCCTGTTGTTACCCAGGGTTCTCAGAACCCAAAGCAGTGGTAAATTAACTGTTTCACTGCAGGTAGTATCAGGAATAAATCAATGGGAACACAGCACTTCCAGCTGAATAAAGATTAATGCAAGTAAGCGTGCTCGTATCTAAAACTACTGTTTGTTAGATTTAAGTACACACAGACATAGCAATAGGTTAGAACGTTCCAAATAATTACCTAGAATCTGAGATGGTATGGAGTAATAAGCACCATGTCAGCGATGGCCGGTTGCTTCCCCACCAGGGAGTATGGTGTCAGGAAAAAAATCTCAAGCTAGCTTCAGAGAACTGCTCCAAAGGACACTCTATTGTCTAGTCTTTTTAGAACTAATTTTTACAAAACACATCGCTCATAGTGACCTCTATTGGGTCATCTCTTCTCCAACTTCAATAAACTATTTATTAACAAAACATGTCTAACAATCTTATGCTATGTCTACACTACACAGCTTTTAGCGACACAGCTATGCTGCTGCAGCCGTGCTGCTAAAAGGCACGCAGTGTAGCTGCTGTTTGTCAGCAGGAGAGCTCTCCTTCCATCCCCAATCGAGCGGCGGTAGCTTTATTGGCAGGAGAACGCTCCTGTTGACAAAGCGCTGTTCACACCGGCGCTTTTCCTCGACAAAACTTTTGTCTTTTGGGGGGTGTTTTTTTAACACCTCTGCCAGTGTAGACAAAGCCGTAGTCATAATAAGCTTCTATATCAAAGGTGTCCAAACTCAAGATCTCCATCCACTTCTTTTCCTTCAGTCTCAATTTGTTGACCCTTTTCTCACCTTCTCCCATTCTGATTAGCAGAAACTGCAAGCCTGCAGCTAGCATTTGACCTTGCCTCCAGAAGCTCTGCTTGTTCAAATTAACCCTTAACTAGGTGGTGTTCTATTTTATTAATGCATGGTGGCTGAATGCACACAATATGGTTGCAATTAGCTTGTTCAAATTCTGGGATAACGCACCCCTCCATTCCGGGGCAGCACTGTGCCAAGCGCCACAGTGGCCCCTGGAGGCTGGAAGAACAGTTATAGGAAAAGTCCTGCTCAACTCCTGCAGCCCTACGATGAAGCATGCTCTATGAGGATGGTGCATAGGAGCTATGAGTTAAGTTCTCTGTAAGCTGTGTGGCCATGCAGTAGCCTGTTTAGCATCGTGCAGGCACTTAGACACCCACCCAAGGCCCGGCCAGGGACGGACGCCCTGGCCCCAACCTAGCCCGGCCCCCAACCTGCTGCGGCCCGGAGGGGGGCCTGGCCTGGCCCCGGCTGGAACAGTTCAGCCCAAACCCATGTGTGACCAGGGTGCCCCTACCCCGGACTGAACCCAGTCCCGGGCCGGACCCGCTGTTAGTCTTAAAGGTGCCACAGGACCTTCTGTTGCTTTCTATCCTGCATCCTCAGCCCCGGAGCTGCTGTGGCACTGAGAGGCGACTCTCTCCCCCAGCTCAGGTGCTGCTGCAGGGACAGAGAGCTGGGGGGGAGTCCTCGCTCTCTCTGCCATA